GCTGGGAGGTAGCTTGGAATCCATCTAGCCCAGCTCCATCACTTTACGGATGAATGAAGAGTAAAAGGTTAAGTGAGTTACCCAATAACTAGTAAATACCCAATAGCTAGTAAATGTCTAAAATGGCATTTAAATCCCTATCTTACTGACTACAAGAACAGCACTGTTCCATGCCAGAGCTTATCTACTTATCTTCTAAGCAATAAATATGCTATCAAAATCGAACTTCCTGAAGCAGCTAGGTGGCACAGTAGAGTGTGGGGTTTGAGTCAGGAAGACCTGACTTTTAATAGTGCCTCAGACAGTAGCTGTGTGGCCCTAGGCAAGTCACTTAACCTCTCTTGCCTCAGTTTCCTTATCTGTAAAATGGGGATAATAATAGCATAAGAGAACTCTTGTGAAAATAAAATGAGGTAATGCATTTAAAGTGTTTTGCAAACAAAGTACTATATAAATGCTAACTATTATTATCGTTATGGAGAGAGGCAGAGAGGGAGGGAAAAAGAGAGGGGGAAAGAAGGGAGAAAGAGGGAAAAGTGAGAGAAAGAGAGAGAAAGGAGAGAGAAAGGGAGAGGGAGAGAGGAGAGAAAGAAAGAGAAGAGATAATTCAGATAGGCTAAGATGGAATGGAAATTTCTGTAACAATATATATCAAGATATATATAAATATATGCATATGAATGTGCATAGATATACATATACATACGTGTTTATACACATATATACATGAATCTCTTTGCACACACACAAGCATACATACTTAGGCAAGAGATTTCAGATTCATGAAATGAAAACTCCACCTGACCCTCTAAACCCTATAGTATAGGGCTTTCTTGTAGTAACAGCATTATTTTGTTAATGGTTACTGTGATGATTAGTCCAATGCAACTTCTACACCTTTCTCCAAGGCATGAACAAAAACACTATCAGATGTGCCCTTATCCATATTTCATTATAATATTCCCTAGAATTTAGCAAGGACATTAAAGCTGATATTCATTCCTTTTTTACATATAGGAAAAATGAGGAACTTCCTTAAGTCCATTCCTTCAATTTGCACTCAGCAAAACTGAGAATGAACTTTCATATTGTTAGGTCTGAGTTCACCCGCCTGATATGCAAACACTCCAAGGAAAGAGTCCCCAGTCAAAAAGCATCTCTCAACTGACTAACAGTTCTTCCAGTGAAATACATAAGAATGGGACAGGGCAACATAAGTGAGGGTCTCCTTCTATGCTCAGGTACACCTGCTTGAACATCTCTAAAATTGCAGAACATTTCTTGCAATAGGGCTGATTTATCTGACCTTTTGCAAGCTGCCATTTCCACATAAGCCCATTAAGTTCCAGTCTTCTATACTGAGAACAAATAGGAATGGTCTTCTGTTTATTTTAAACTGCCTTTTGGCTTCTCAGACTAAGGCCAGACAGGACTTCTACCCCACATGAGACTGGGTAGGAATTTCCACACCATCCTTCAAGAAAAAATAATGAATATACATTCAGCTATGAAAAGAACCTCCACAGTTTGGAAGTAGGGGAAAGGGATTATAGGAGGGAAGGTAAGTGACAGGGATACCCTTGAGGCTATCCTTCCACTTAAACCCTCCACTCATGGCTGGAACCTGCATTGTCTGGTACTGAAGACTCAAGATTGGGAAGAATCAAATGTCAAAGATCCAACCCCTGTGTGGGAGATGAACACCAGGCCTTCCTTTACCCCTCACTAATAAGACTGTCTAGCCCTGAGGACCACAGCAAGCCAACCTCACTTCCTTCCTTACCCATTCATCTCACTCAGCTACCCGTTCCGGAATAGAGATAGACACAAGGACATGTCTACAGTGTATTTGTCTTAGGAAGAGGATGCTCAGAGACAGAACCAAGAATCAGCTGTATGAAGGAAAGAATAAGGAATGAAGTAAATGTCATTTTGACTCCCTGGGCCTCAATTTTCCCACCTGTGAAAAAGGAAAGGTAGAACTAGGCACTCTTTAAGGTCTCTTCTAGCGATAACATTTTGTGATTCCAGGGGAGGAGCAGAAGTTATTCAAAGGAAAGCAAAGATCTCCTTTATCTACAAATTAACTGCCTAAGAGTTGCTAAGGGAAACCTTGCCATTCTGTTTTCTCTGTCAAGCTTCAGAAGGCACATTCAGCCTTTAGTATACCTTTAGAAGGAAAGTCCACTGGTGCACTTATGAAAGAGGATGAAGGCAGCATCAAAAAAGAACAGCTGGAGTTGAAATCATAGAAGTTGTGGGGAGTGGAGGTACGAGAAGGGAGTAGGGACTGTCTCCAGAAGGGACAACCTGGCTGACTTGATGATAAAAAGTGAATGGAATGCAAATCCTGCCCTCTGTCTGAGAGAGAGAGAGAGAGAGAGAGAGAGAGAGAGAGAGAGAGAGAGAGATGGAGAGAGAGAGAGAGAGAGAGAGAGATGAGAGAGAGAGAGAGAGAGAGGGAGGGAGGAGGGAGGGAGAGAGAGAGAGAGAGAGAGAGAGAGAGAGAGAGAGAGAGAGAGAGAGAGAGAGAGAGAAGAGTCAGTCAGTCCCTGGGGAATTTGGGAGTCAAAACAAAAAAGCATCAGCTCCCTGGGGTTGGGATTGGAGCTGTCCAGGGGCTATCAGACCTCACAATAACTTTCAGCATGGCAGTATGGAAAGGAAGCAACTTTCTCTCTCTCTCTCTCTCTCTCTCTCTCTCTCTCTTTCTCTCTTTCCCTCACCCCTTCTTCCTCTCCTCCTTTCTCTCTCCTTTTCTCTAGAAACAAAGTAAGAGGTTCATGTTAGTACTCTACTTTTAGATCTAAAGTACCTATCATTCTATTCCTTTCCATTAACAATTAAAAAACTATTTTTAGAATGTTTTTTGTAACAGGTTTATTTGGGTGATTGTTGGGAAATTCATAATAAAACACATCTATCAACAAATTTAAAAAGAAAACAAAGAGAGATTTTATCAAAACGGGGCAGCTAGGAGGCACAATGGACAGAGCACCAGGCCTGGAGTCAGGAAGATCTGAGTTCAAATCCAGCCTCAGACACTTACCAGCTATGTGACCCTGAGCAAGTCACTTAACTCTGCCTCCGTTTCCTCATCTGTAAAATGAGATGGAGAAGGAAATGGCAAACCACTCAAGCATCTTTGCCAAGAAAACTCCAAATGGAGTCACAAAGAGTCAGAAACAACTGAAACAACTGAATAACAACAACAAAGGGATGAAATATTTCTGAATTCCTTCTATTTTTTCATCATTGTATAGTTGGACTTGAAGTCAAGAAGGCCTAGGTTTAAATCCCAGCTCTAATTCCTACCAACTGTATAACCATGGACAAGTCACTTACCTTCTCTGACCATCAGTTTCCTAATCTACAAAATAAAGATAAGACCTAGACAGCCTGCCTCACAGCATTGTTGTGAGGCTCAGATAAAATAATGTGTATAAAGATCTTTGCAAAAAAACACAAATAAATCAAGCCATATCCTCTTTTGAGAAGGTATCCTTAATAGGTCATTTAGAAGCATTTGCAGTAGATAATGAGGGTCTAGATTCTTCTGCTTGCTGATCCACATTTACTAGAAGGTGGACAAGATGGAGCCTCCTATATGTAAGCTCTTCTTATTCTTATTTCTGATGCTGAACTCAAATAGCTTTTTGGCTATGACATCCCAACTCAATAAAAATACATGTAAACACACATTTATAGGTATATTTGTGTTGAGGAAAGATGAACAGAAGACAGCTGATGAAATTTATACATTGCTAAAAACAAAATAGATTCCTCTCCATGATTGCAAAGTGCTCTCTTCTCAACAAGCCTGTCAGGTAGATAATAAAAGTTTCTTAGCTCCATCTCACAGATGAGGAAATTGAGGCACAAGAAGGCTAAATGACTTGTACAAGATAACGCAGTTCATGGATTGAAGCCAAGATTTAAACTTAGGTCATTTGACTCTAAGATTAGAGCTCTTTACCCTAGACTATAGGACCATGACTTCTCTCATTCAATCTGGTCTCATGATTTTTGTTAATGAACCACCTTAGCTAGGTGGTACAGTGGATAGGGCATGGGACATGGAGGCAGAATAGACCCGAGTTCAAATCCTGCCTCGTACTTTTATAGTTGCATGACCCAGGTGATTCATTTCCCTTCTGTCTGCCTCAGTTTTCTCATCTGTAAAATAAGAATGATAACATAGCACCTACATACCTAGGCTATTGTAAAGATAAAATGAGATAATATTTGTAAAGTGTTTTACAAACCTCAAAGCATTATATAAATGCCAGTTGTTGTTGCTGTTGTTGTTAACACTAAAATCCTATTTTAAGTTATTTCTCTATGCTACCCAGTCTATTATTCAATCTTTCAAATGATTTGTCCCAAGTGATGAACAATGTTTCTTTTGCTTTTGTGCAAAAAGCTTATAACAGAGGTTTTATCATGGTCCTCTGACACCAACATTATCATGCAATTCTACAACATCACATTTTTCTTCAATGCTCCCCAAAAGTCTGATCAATACTGATACTCGTCTGTGCTACCATTCACCTCCTCCTAGGCCCTACCTCCATGGCCACTCAGACGCCATATTCTCTGCATTAAAATTGTGGCAGGAAATCTCTATAGGTACTCTGGACAGGAGGGTCCATTGTCCCTAAAGCTCCTACCCCATTGGCCTTTGGTATGGATGTAAATACCCTTCCCTCCATCCCTTTACGTATCATTTAAAGAAGTTCCACTTCTAGTCAAGGAAAAATAGCCTCAAAACTCAGTTCTTATTATAGGCCCTCTGCTCATACTTCAAGAGTAGAGGGAGCTAGGGTGAGCTGGGGTCAAAAGAGTATGGAAAGACCTTTTTATACCTGTATAATTCTATACCTGTATAATTTATACCTCTATAATAATGAACCAAGGTTCATCCTGAAGTCTCATAATTATCCTAACCTCTGCAGAGATATAATTTTGAAGGCTAAAGAAGGCACCAGGAAAAACCTCACCTGGCCCTACTTATCAGAGCCTGGCTTTGCTCAGAACTCAGCTGTGACTTCCAATATTTAGGTATTTTTTATTTCCCAGTATGCCTTCCCAGGCTCCTGAGAGCCATTCTCCCTGAAGACAGGCTTAGATCCTTGGCCTGAGCAGAAAGGGCTGTGAGCCGTTATGTCCAGCTAATGATCTGCAGTGGGATGGAAATGAACACTGACAGCTCCTGACTTGTGCCCTTGTTATCCTGGAAAAGAAACACGAAGGCATTTTTCAAAAGCAAGCAGACTCCCAGAGAGTCTGGCAGGCAAACCACACACTTGCCTGCAGCCCGCCCACTGTCCAAGCCATAGTCAAATCTGCCCACTTCCCAGAGAGGTTATGTACCCTTAATTCCTTCTTCCATCATGGAAAGGGTAAGGGAGTAAAGTAGGATAGGCAGGGAGGGCAGAGTACATCCCACTTATAGGACAAGTGGGAAACGTAAGGAAGACTGCAAGAGGAAATGATATGGAAGAAATGATATGAGAGATTAAGGAAAGTGGCAAAGTAGAGTGGGAAGATTTTTTTATATTAACCTTGGTGTCTCCCCTAGTGCTTAGGGCAAGGGTTCTTAATCTGGATACATGAACTTGATTTTAAAAAAAATGAATAATTATTCCAATGTTTCCTTTGCAATCCTATTTTTTTATTCCATGTATTTAAAACCATTCCCCTTCTCCTCCCTCCCCCAAGGAAATATCTACAGGCTTCACCAGACTGCCAAAGGGCTCCATGACACAAAAAGGTTAACAATTCCTGGACTAAAGCATTGCATTACACATAGTAAGTGATTAATAAATGTTTGGTCAATTAAATTGACCAAAGAGTGGTGGGAAAAGTGAAAAAGGTAGGGGAAGGAGAAATAGAGATGGAAGAAAGAGAGTAAAACGTAAGAGCAAAGAGAGAGAGGCAAAGGTAGAAAAGAAGGGAGATAGACACGAATGAAAAAGAAGTACTTGGAGCAGGCATCTTGTCTGCTACAGTGAGAAATATGGCAGGTAGACCCTAAGAGCATTCTTCACATTCTACACTGCTGCTCTGGAGAAACAGGCCCTTGCTAGAGCATCTCCAAGGAGACAACAGGCTGGTGCGGACCAGCCCAGAGTCCTGACTGGGGCTTCTGCCTCCCTCGGTCACCTGCTTTTGCTTAGCTGCTGCCCAGGAAGAGAGAAGGGAGAAAAGGACACTTCTCAGTCACTTTTTCTGAGCCTCCCCAGATACAGCAGAACATCTTTCCTTGAGGTCTGAAGAGGGCAGTTCATTCTCCTGGAAGAAGACCAGCTCCTCATGGGAACTAAAGGATAAGAGTATAAGAAAGGAGGTGGGGTGGAAACCACAAATCTGCCCGTGTTTTATAAATAGAAGGCTAGGAAATAATACTGCATACTCTGCCCCTTCCCCACTTTCTTTAGGGAGTGGCAAGGGCATTAATTCACAAAACAGAACAGCTTGATGTTACAGACAGAGAGCTTCAGAGTATAAGGCAACTGGGCCCACGACGCATTTCCAAATTTGAAGTTTGAGCCCTCATTTCTCTTGCCAGGCATGATTTTTTCTTAAGATAGTGGAACCTCAGTAATGTAGTCTCAATATGATTATTACGAAGTTGGCCCCTCAACCTGTGAGGCCTCTTGCCAACTTTAATAGAAGTCAAATCAGCAGAGAATTGAAAACAAAAAGTCACAACTGTTTCTCCTTGTCTGGAGGAAGAGGTCCTTCTCATCTTTCTCATCATGTTCACCTTCCCCTCCCAGGCCCAAAGGAACAGGGTAGTTCCTAAATAACAAGGCCTTAGTATCCACATTATTTTTTTAAAAATCACTAATGTTTCTGTAGGGCGTACCAAAAAACAATTATTTCAGTCTCCATTCTGGCTGAAGCTACAGAGACAACTCCCCCCATTCCCCCAGCCCTGTGCAGGCCAAGGATACCCACTCCCAAATGGGGAGAAAACTGAGGGGGAAATCCGGGCTAATTTCAAGGTTCATTAGAAACTCCAGGGGGAAATGAATGTTTGCCAAATAGGAAAGGAAAAGACACAATCGATAAAAAGAGAAATGCTGTTTTCATGCTCCTCAGCTCGGGGGTATTACGAACAATAGAGAACTAAGAATTCAATGTGATAAATAAAGGGATAGGAACATCATTGTGTCCCGGCAACACAAGCCCTGAGCTGCCATTCAGTCTGAGCAGAAGTAAATCTCTGGTGCCTATTGGCTCAGGGCTAGAGGCAGCAATGCTGGGCAGGCGGTGGGTAAAGGGAGAAGATGGATGGGGGTTCTTAAGCAAAAGGATCAAGAGAGCCTTTAGGGGCTGCCATACCTCAACCAAACCAACAAAGCCACCTCATCACAAGTCTTTCATCTGGCAGTGGGAGAATTCAGAGAAGTATAGGGAAGGAAGAGCAGGATTTAGCCATATTACCCACCTTTCCAGCTTTATTACACACTACACCCTTTTGTACGCTCTATGGTCCACATAAATGGGCCTTTTTTTGTTATTCCACACATGTGACTTTCCATCTCTCATCTCTGTGCCTTTTCACAAACTGTCTTCCCATGACTAGAACACTTTCTCTTCTCATCTCCTTACGCTACCTCTTAGACTGCTCAGTTTCATTCAAAACTCAACTCAAACACTGCCTCCCCTCCAAAAAAGACCTTGTATTTATACAATTACTTGGCATATCTTTTCTATATTCTTATATACACACATGTCTCCCCAATAGAATGAGTTGCTTGAAGGCAGATTCTTTTTTTCTTTCATTTTTGTCCTTGTATTCTTAGTACCTAGTGGGTATTTTAGTAAATGGTTAATAAGTGGTTTATTAGTCGATTGATTGATTGATTGATTGATTGATAGTGGCATGGCAAAGGCAATGGGCAGGAAGTGAGCTTCAGGAAAGACCTCAATTGGACAGAGTCCACTCTGTAACCAGAGAAGAGAATTTTGGGGCTCCTTCTAAAGCTAGAAGCCATGAACACACAAAACATCAATACTATTTGTCCCCATCACAAACCTCTGGGAATTTAGCTCAATTAGCAAGCTCAGAGAAGAGTATAGTCTGGGCACTACAGGGCAGACATGAGAAACATAAACTGAGAGGCCAATGACCCTGGCAGCTGCTAGAAGTTACAACTAAGAGGCTACAAGGATATACCATGATCCCAAGAGAAGTCATTCTCTCTTTCTATACAGTCTGCAGTTGGCCTGTTATGATAGCTAAAAGAGTGAGAAATCTGCTAAGTGAGATGGGTGGATAGTTTCTAAAAAGAAGTAAATTCCAATAGCTACCAGGTCTTTGTAATGCCCTGGCCACCTCCTTTTTTATATACCTACCTCCCAGGTTCTATGGTCAGAAAGTACGGTGCCGCTCTGTCCACTTATGTCTGCCTTCTGATTCCTTATTCACAAAAGATCCTCTAACTCAGTTCCTCTATAGTTCTAGCATTATATATTGGCATTATATAATAGAACTATTAGATAGTTCTATATTCCTTTCTTACTGCGAATAAGGTTAGTAGCTAGTGTCTTCTACCTACAATTCTCCTTACTCTCCTCTGGTTTGTTTCTAGCCTGATTTGTTAGTAATGTACAGTTTGGACCATTCATTGATTCCACAACTCATATTGCTCCTCAATGATGGCTATAAGGAATATACTTTCATTCTGAAATACATTCTGGAAAAAAAAAAAACATTAGAAGGTAGATGGGGAAGGAACATTGGCTATGAGACTGAAACGGTGAGTTCTTTTATTCAATAGCTTAGTGTCATAAGTAGAGAGCTGGACTTAGAGTCAGGAAAACCTGGCTAGAAAGGAACTTAGAAAGTAAGCATTTGGTTTAGAGTTAGAAGACTTGGGTTCAAATCCCATCCCAATAACTATCTGTGCAACCTTGGCTAAGCAGCTTCACCTCTACCGGCCTCAGCTTTCTCATCAATAACTAAGAAGTATTTAGAACATACAAACTGTGTGTGGGGTGCTGGAGATACAAAAAGGCATAAATTAAACATCCTCTGCCCTCCAAGAGTTTATGTTCTATCAGAGAAACAATATGTATATGAGAGCATTGGACTAGATGACCTCTTGGGTCCCTTACAGCTCTCAATTTATGAGATCTTATAGCTTTAGGGATGCTTTCATGTTTTGTCTTTGTCTAGCACAATGTCTGGCACCTAGTCGGGGTTTAATCAATGCTTGTTTAATTAAATAGAACTGAATTGAAATGAGTTGAATCCAATTCAAGCCCTTTATTTCACAGATATAGAAAGTCCGAGCCTTAGAGGTCGAACAATTTGCCTAAAGTCACAGAGCTGGTCATTGGAAGAAGTGAGCCTAGAACCTGACCTCCCCACTCCTAGCACAGGGCTATTCTGCTGCACCAAGAAGTACAGTGGGCTTTCTTCCCAATGCCCTCTGCAAATCCTAGGGAGCCTCTTTGGGTTCAGTGGGCTCCAATGGGCATTTAGCAATGCCCATCTCCCTGTACAACTCTCTCTATGTTCCCCAAATATCTCTACCACCACCCCCCAAAAAATCTCCAGTGCCTCCTTTCCAACATAAAATAACTACAAGCATAAATTGGTTAAAACAGATTGCTATAACCCTAAAGCCAGCTGCAACTGGGATGGAATCTAGCACCACCTGCTGGTCACACAGGAAAAGGGGAAGGTTGATATGGAGCTGATGTGGCTCTGAATCATTTCTCATCCCTATTTAAAGAATTGGCACCTGCTGGGTTTGGAACAGCTGAAATGGGACGTTAAAAGGCAAATGGTGATGGTAACCAAATAAACAAAGGAGGTATTCAATGGGAAGAAAGGAGACCAGGGTTTGGGGGTAGAAACATGAACATTTTGGGAAAGTTTAGGGACACACGAAAGGTAGGTACAATGATGGGACTCTGTGGAGTTTAGGACTGAGACAATAGGGGCAAGCATGGATAAGTAATTAGAGGACCATTGGCAAAAGTGGGGCTAAAAGGGAAGATGAATAGGGTCTCTGGATCTTCATTTCTTCATCTGTAAAATAAGGGTTGGGTAGACTAAATGAGCTCTAAGTTCCCTTAAAAGTCTAAATTCTTTGATTCTCTAAAAGATGAATAACCCAGGTCAGAGCCAGGCATCGGGACAAGAGTATAGGGGGTGATGTTTGAAAGATTCACTCTCCTTGGTGAGCTTTAGGTCTTGCTCCACAACCCTGAATTACCTGCCCTCTTCCAATCTGGCACTGTTTAAAAAGAGCTTTCATTCCAAGGCAACTTCCTTCTCTTCTCTCTTGGATCGTAACTGGTGAAACTCAGCATAATGGAATACATACTAGACTTAGAGTTGAGAGAGATGTGGGTTTGAATTCTGTCCATAACGATAATGATTAGACTATGGGCATGTCCCTTAAGCCTCTCTAAGCCTGAGTTTCATCATCTGTAATTGGGAACAAAAAAATCTATAATACCTCCCTACTACAGTTGTTGTGAGGATCAAATGGGATGTCTGTTAGAGCATTCTTAAAACCTTAAAGTGGAATATAAATGTGCGTTATTATTATTATTGGCTCAGGGGACTCTAGGGTTAGTACAGAAACAGAATCATGGGTAGGCAAGGTAGGAACTGCCTAAAACACAACACACAAGGCAGGGAATTCCACTCTCCATTGAACAAAGGTATTTAGCTTGTGATAAACCAAGGTACTTGTGTTTCAATGAAGGCTCAAGGAAGAAAGGCAACAAGAGTTTATTACATGCTTATTAGGCGCCAGACCTAGCCTCTGATGAACAGCAGCACTCCACCACAATTTAGAAAACTACCTTCATCAAGAATTCCCTTTATTTTTCACAGGGGCAGGGTTAGAGGGTGGTGTACAATTTTTAAACTTTACTTAGGGGTGGCTAAGTGGTAAAGTGCACCCACCCTGGAGTCTGGAGGTCCTGAGTTCAAATCCAGCCTCAGATACTTAGCAATTGTGTGACCCTAGGCAAGTCACTTAACCTCAATTTCTTCCTCCCAATTTTTTTTAAAAAGCATTATCTGGGTAATACAAATGTCTTGTCCTTCCTCTGAAAACAGGAAACAGGTTCTATTTCCCCCCCAACCATCATCAGTACCTACCTAGTTATATGACCTTGGGCAAGTCAGTTCATGACCCTCAGCACTAGAATGTTCATCTACCAAAGGGGTATTGGTTCTGGGGCAAAGTAAGACATAATCAGTTCACATCCTGCCTCTAACCTTTATCAGTTAGGTCAATATGAGCAAGTCATTTTATCTCTAAACTTCAGTTTTCCCCATAAAATGGGACTAATTATAGTAATGCCTGCCACACAGGGTTGTTGAGGGGACCAAGTGAGAAAATGTACGTAAAGTTCTTTGTAAAGCACTTTAAAATGATATGTAAAGTTCGGCTGTTAATTAATTAATAATTAAAAATGTTATCATTGATGATGATAATGATGACAGCCAGCCTTAACTTTAAGTTAAGAAATAATCTCTAATAATCTCATATTGTCTATTTACTGGCTATGTGACCCTAAGCAAGTCATTTGTCCTTTCATTGCCTCCAAAAAGATCTCTAAAACTATGAATTGCAGAAAAGATGCCAATTGGTCTCCATAGATAGCTTCTTCACCACGGGGAGCTCTCTGAATGTATGATGAAGTCACAGGTCCACCACCACTACCACCACCCCCCAAAAAATAGAGTCAAGGATGTTTGTTAGAATCTTGCCTTCTGGCTGTGGGACCTTAGAAATGTCACTTAATCTCTTTCCACACCCGTCAAGTAATGACAATAACATTTGTACTCTCTATTTAATATTTTATGTGGGCAGGGTACTAAGATAGATTGAAGGATTAAAAAAAAAAAAAGACTGGTGTCTACCCTCAAGGAACTTACATCCTACTTATATTCACAGAATTGTTGTAAGAAAGTTGCTCTATAAATCTTAATTTTCTTCATGACCCCTATTTGGTCTTAGCAAAGATACTGGAGTGGTTTGCCATTTCTTTTTACAGATGAAAAAATGGAGGCATGACTTACACAGGGTCATGCAACTAGTAAGTGTCTGAAGTCACATTTGAACTCAGGTCTTCTAGGCTCCAGGCCTAGTACTCTATCCATTAAGCCACCTAGCTGCCTGCAAATCTTAAAGTACTTTGTAAATGTGAAGTCCTTTCCAGTTCTAAGAGCTGGAATATTCCACAGGACATCTAGTATTAGAGCTAAAAAGTAAAAAGCACCTGAATGATGTCTAACCAGTGGTTTTTGTGGTCTGGGTAAATCCAAACAAGGCATGATGAGAGTTGAGGGGAGGGGGAAGTAGGGAGAAGAACTAGGGTTAAGAGATTTCAGTGCATTTTTGATTAAATGAATAACAGTCTCAGAGATAAATGCTCCTTTGCATACTAATTTACATGTAACATCTTCTCTGAGTCATCATCTCCCAAACTCTTTATAATAAGACAGTTGCCCTGGTCACCAGCTAGAGACCTTAGTCCTTCCCCCCCCCCCACCCCATTTCCCTTTCCTCCTATTCTGCCACCTACTCTCTCTTCTAGCTGATTCAAGTTAGTGGCCCCAGCTTCTCCATTTGCCAACCTGCTGCTCTGGCATTTCTGGGCTCCCTGTCCCCTCCACCTCCAAATTTTGAGTCATGGCTCAATAGCCTCCCCCAACTATCCCATTGCACTGAGGGTGTGAGGGGAACAGGAAGGAGGGGGAAGAAGCCTGTACGCAACGGGAAAGATTGTTGCCAGGGTGGGTGATGATTGTGCTCCTCGCCTACTGAGGAAGGCTCTAAGTAAGCCAGCGGAAAAAGTCAGCATCTCTCTCCGAGGCATTCATTATTCAGAACTTCCCACAGCCTTGTGCCTGCCATGGTGAGGTGGGCTGGACTGGGGTGGGGAAAAGATCTGGCAGCCGCATCAGTGGGAGCCAAGATTTTTGTCTTGACCCTTCTGAGCTATATCAGGTAACCCTGAGACAGGAGCCAGAAAGATATGCAGCTGATCTACTTGAAACTATACTCTCTAAATCAATCAAAAAGTATTTATTAAGCCTTTACTGTGTGTCACCAGACAGCATGCTAAATTTTGGAGATACAAAGAAAGAGCAAAAATAATCCCTGACGTCAAAGAGCTTACACTCTAATGGGACAGGTAATAGATATAGATATATAGATATATCAGAACATAAAGGGTAGATACAGAATAGAGTGAAGTAGCATGATGAAGGTTGGGATAAATTTAGAAAGGAGACAATGTGTCAGTGAGTCTATATCAGAGGAAAATGAGGTCTGATCTGAAGGGGGAAGCAAAAGGAGGTTCAGGCCTTGAAAACAAAAAGGAAGGGAAGCAGAGGAAATGGGGGGGAGAGGGGAAAGAGAGGAGTGGAGAGGGGAAAGAAAGGAGAGGAAGAAGAG